ATGTTTGAACCACAAACTTGCCGTGTACAGTGATGTACAAAATGCCTTTTTATTTCTGGTGGTAGTGAACTAATTATTTTAGGTATCTGATAATTCAGTCGATTTTTACCGTATATATTATTATAACGAGGTATTATTAGTAATTGATTGTTTACACTTCGAGTTTCCATTTTGTGACTGACTTTTTTTTGCAAGTTTTTATTAAAAAATTGTTCTATATGTAAGGTGTATTTAATTTTATCATGAATCGGTAAGATTTTGCAATATTCAAAGAGATCGTGATAATTACTCTTATGTATTAACTTAACTTTGTATGGAACTATTTTCTTTATTATACGTAATTGAAGTAGATAAATTACATTCAGCTTAGTTTTACATGACCTACCATAGCTACTAAGACCATAAGAAATTATGGATTCTCCCAAAGCCATATAAAGAGATAACAGAGTTTGGAATGGAATTTTATTTCGTATCAGAGTAAATTTGTCAAGTATTGCCCGGAGCTTATCGCATACGTGATTAATATGATCCGTCCATTTGAATCTATTGTCAATTATAAGTCCGAGGTATCGCTGTATGTTTACCACTTCAATCGCCTTGCATACACAGTCTGTTTGGTCTGTATGAAGGCAATCATGACTGTGAGCAATTAATAAAAGTGATGTAGAAACTCTGTTTTTACTCGAACTTATATACATCAATCAGTTAAGATTCGTTACGCCAAAGAATCGCTGGACAATAAATACCGGAATTAATTGTAATCATCAAATCTGATAGCGCGCGTCGGTCGTGTGCGACCATCCTAATTGGCCGTGCGCTCGCATCTTTTTGCACATGCCTGATAAAAATCAGTCATAATGTAATTGAGTAATTCTAAGACTTCTTAAGTGATTACTTTTTTGGTCGATGTTATAGTAGACACCGTCATAATTTATGAACTAGCTGGTAGCAGCCCAGTGTTAAATAAGGGTCTATTATACAAATGACTATTCTTTTCCAGGTCATTTTACAGTCGAAGTAAGCTACATAGCTACGAGATCAATTGGAAGCATTTAGCTACATTTTGACATTTGGTGAGTCCCACGCGGCGATTGTGGACCGTCGTCGACGTTCCGTGTGTGCAAATAGTCTCGCGAACAATGAAACCAACAACAACACGAACTGGTGTTGCAATTATTAATGAGAACGGAACGTGGGCGCCAGTTCGGTCGCGGTACTTGTTGATTACGGCTTATTATAGAAACTCTTCGCACCTTACGAGGTAGGTATATCCCTCGCGGGCCACGTGTTAGCCTGCCGACGAGTAGGGGACACAAACGTTAGTCTTTATAACCGAACTGCGGGAGGGTTATGTTTTTCGAGTGTATGTATGTATGTATGTCCGTTTCTTTTTCACAGTGTACAGTCTAAATGGCTTGATGGATTTCGACATATGAGATGTCGTTAGATTCGTCTTCATTGTGGGAGTATCATAGGCTATTAAAAAAAATTAAAATAGTAAGGTGCCATATCCAACTAAAAATATTTTTGCAGTCAGGTTTTTGTTTTTAAATAATTTTTAGAGTTAGTAGAGTTACAAAATACCGTTAAAACCGTTAGTTACAATGCGATTTTGTATGAAGAGTAGCTGCAATTGACCTGTGAAAAATTATGGTGCAAAGTGGAGCTCCTCAGGATTCACTGCTGACCGTTTGATGTGCATAGCTGCTAATAGGGCATGCAAAAACCGAAGCTTAAAAAAAAGAATTATAGTAAAAAATCAATAATACAAATATTCTAAAGTAAATATGCATATTTAGAAACAAGCAATTAAACATTTTCTTTTTCAGTCTTTATAGTGATATTAACATTACGCTTGAAAATCATACATACGAATCAATTAATTAATTCGATTGACAGGTCACGACGTTTTCGTTTCTGCCAATATGCGCCTGTCACCCTAAGACATATATTGACAAGTCCTTTAATTTCATCAGCCTGTAATTTCAACAGTACCTTTACCCTTCAAAACCGGAACTCAGTAATGCTGAAATTATTGGTTGGAGGCAGAAATAAGTGAGATGGTAGTACTTTCCTGGGCCAATTCTTTCACAAGGAGCTCTACTGCTACTAATTAACTAAATCCGGAGTTCCTAGCATTTACTCAGCATTTTTTTATCAGTATTAATCGCGATACGACAATATTATGAGTTACAAATTTACGTTTTAATTATAGGAAATGAAACTATTTTTCCGGATTTAAATCGCGTATATTTGTTTTTTCAAACAAACCGACGTTTCGGGCCCTTTACAGGTCCCATGGTCACGGTTGACTGATGTGGTATAGTCTTCAACCAGTTATGTCTAATATTGATGCAAACCACCCTATTTTTTCACTATAGTTACAATAGTTATTAATTAAATACCTTATTTTTAATTTTACAAAGAAAACATTCCAATTTACGCTACATTAAGTTTTACAAATTATTATATTGGATGATTTTTTATTAAGTTCAATTTATTATTAATTAATAATAGAAATTAGAATAAACTAAAACATATTAATTAGTACTGCAGTCGCGATTTAAATCCGGAAAAATAGTTTCATTTCCTATGTGTAACAATCGCGAAAACCTAAGAACTCGTTACGTTTTAATTGTTTGAGACAACCGAAAAACTCGGATTTTACTTAGCTGAAAACTGGCTTCCAAAATGAAAACGAGTAACCGCCACTCGGGTTTTTCGGTTAACCGAGTAACCGGTTTGCGTATCCTGCTGCTAATCTCGTAACTGCTAAACGAACTCAAAAGAATACCTGCATTTATTGTTTTATGTCATTTTTATATGTATTGATGCCCGATCGCAAAATTACTTCTGCTTTGGGAGAAGCAACGTCACGCGATGCGAGACACTAAATATAGACTAAATTACAGCATTCAACGACTCACTATGGAGACGAGGACTTTCGTCGGCAATTGCCTGACACAGATCGCACTCTGCTGCAGATGAGTCGCTGGGAGGCGCGCCGGAGTAAGTTGTCTCGCGCTATTCATAGACCTGCATAATCTGCGTCCCCTGTGTTAAGGTACATGCTGATCACAAACAACAATATATGTCCACAACTGGGCACAGGTCTTAAGCCTTAAAGATAAATTTTTAAGGTCGGATTATTTAAAATTTTTTACAACAACTTATTACGAGTATTGTCATGACTGCCTTAATTCTTTCCAACTATATCGACACCTTTTTTATATATCTATGGCAACCCCACACTACCGAGATGAAACCGTATCAACTTTATTATTGTAAATTTATATACAATAAATAAATAAATATTCTTGACTTGCTTTTTTTTCATCTTGTTTCAGTAGTTAGATTTCCTGTAAAAACCATTCCAATATTCGAAATGTCTGAAATAATGTGACACAAGAATATTCAGTTCCTGAAACCCAAATCTAACTTTCAAACTTTGTAAAGGCGTTCCGAAAACACGTTTCCATTTGCAGCACTCGGCCCACCCGCACACCGCACCTTTCCCTCCGCCACACACCTGTTCTCACAAATAGATTAGGCCAATGCACTCATATGCACTTGCATAGGACCTCTACCACTATCACTGTTACTATTATCAATTACTGTTCCTTTATATCCATTGCTGTTCTCACGAAGTCACTTGATAAAGAACATGTACTGACACAGCAATGTGTAACAAACAATGCAGCGATACTATAGCTGATTTAAGCAGTGACGATCTGGTGATAGCGGTATTGGTATTTAATTGAGTGCATTCGATGAATGGCGACCACAATAATCACTACAGACTGTTTGTGATGCAGTTAAATTAAACCTGTACAATTAACTCGGGGTTAAATTAGACGCGATCCAAATAGAACGTCCTAGTTAAATAAACAGACAGCTGTAAACAAACACACACTCTTTCACTGATATCTTCACTTTGAACCTCAAAAGATTCTTTACAACTCGAAAACTTCTGCATCACTTTTTGTTGTCTATACCTATCACAGACCTAAAGTGTGCTGAAACAAATACAATCAAGCAACAGAATCGTCCTTCACACTCAGTCCACTGCTGGACATAAGCCTCTTCGAATGGGAGATGTGCCGCAATCACCACGCTTCAATAACAGGTCGGTGTAGTAAACTAACTAGACTGTAATCTTGAGGGAAACTGGAAATATTTAGTAACGAATACTTACCTTAATGTTTCGTAATTGAGTTGAATCAGAGGAGACCTCTCTCGACATGAATCTATACCCAGCAGTGGAACATATAAAAATTAAAAATGTTGTCTTGTTTCAATGACTCATTGACACAAAATTCCATTAATAGCAAAGATTGTAAATAACACATGTGGTACACACATACGTTGCAATGAGTTCAAGCACCCCGCTGTCGTTCGCGCGCCGTAAGCAACATAATTGAGATCAGATTATGGCCAAAGGCGGTCTCGATTCCTGAAAATGTGCTGAAACCGTGACCCACTCACCCATACCTGAAATAATTTACATCTAATTTAAATTATGAAGCTTATCTGAAGATATTCATATCATTTTCTTCTCGATAATTAAGTTTTCCAAGAGTTCCTAAATACTCAGCGGAACGCGTACAGTAAGTTATTTTGCAGCGAAAGAGAAGTGAATTATATTCAAAAGCACTTTTACAAAAAGCGTGAAAGTGTACTGTAATTACAAGTCAAATAATAGAAGAAAAATGAAATTATGCTACGTAAACCCTGTCGTGAGCGTCGACGCGCGCAACGCCCGAAAAGGCTCACGGCGCTCGCGGCTTTCGGCGACTGTCCCCAACCGAAAATTACAACAAATTGAAAGTAAAGAGGTCCGCAAAGCTTTTTGGGGGTCTAGAGTGGCTTACATAGTCTGTTAGAGTAGAAAAATCCGCTATAGTTGGCGGCGCGTTCCCAGTCTTCGTCCGCGTCGGCGCGCCTTGTATGGGCGCGCGCGCTGCGCCCGCGTCGTTATAAAAGCTCTCGCAGCGTTGAGGGGCGCACTCGCAGTCTCGCTGCCGCAGAGTCAACTTCCAGCGCGTCCCGAAACACACTCACACCGCCAAAATGTGCGACGACGATGTTGCTGCGCTAGTAGTGGACAATGGCTCCGGCATGTGCAAGGCCGGTTTTGCCGGCGACGACGCACCGCGCGCCGTGTTCCCGTCCATCGTGGGCCGCCCTCGCCACCAGGGTGTGATGGTGGGTATGGGTCAAAAGGACTCGTACGTGGGTGATGAGGCTCAGAGCAAGAGAGGTATCCTCACCTTGAAGTACCCCATCGAGCACGGCATCATCACCAACTGGGATGACATGGAGAAGATCTGGCACCACACCTTCTACAACGAGCTGCGCGTCGCCCCCGAGGAGCACCCAGTCCTCCTCACTGAGGCCCCCCTGAACCCCAAAGCCAACAGGGAAAAGATGACCCAGATCATGTTTGAGACCTTCAACTCCCCCGCCATGTACGTCGCTATCCAGGCCGTGCTCTCCCTGTATGCTTCCGGTCGTACCACTGGTATCGTGCTGGACTCCGGTGACGGTGTCTCCCACACCGTGCCCATCTATGAAGGTTATGCCCTTCCTCACGCCATCCTCCGTCTGGACTTGGCTGGCCGTGACTTGACCGACTACCTCATGAAGATCCTCACCGAGAGGGGTTACTCGTTCACCACCACCGCTGAGAGGGAAATCGTGCGTGACATCAAGGAGAAGTTGTGCTATGTCGCCCTGGACTTCGAGCAGGAAATGGCCACCGCTGCCGCCTCAACCTCATTGGAGAAGTCGTACGAGCTTCCCGACGGTCAGGTCATCACCATCGGTAACGAGAGGTTCCGTTGCCCTGAGGCTCTCTTCCAGCCTTCCTTCCTGGGTATGGAATCGTGCGGCATCCACGAGACCGTGTACAATTCCATCATGAAGTGCGACGTCGACATCCGTAAGGACCTGTACGCTAACACCGTCATGTCCGGTGGTACTACCATGTACCCCGGTATCGCCGACAGGATGCAAAAGGAGATCACCGCCCTCGCTCCCTCCACCATCAAGATCAAGATCATTGCTCCCCCTGAGAGGAAGTACTCCGTATGGATCGGTGGCTCCATCCTCGCCTCCCTGTCCACCTTCCAGCAGATGTGGATCTCCAAGGAGGAGTACGACGAATCCGGCCCCGGCATCGTCCACCGCAAGTGCTTCTAAGCGCCGCGCCCCTCGCGCCCCCCGCGCCCGCCGCGTGATAGTGCTGTGTGTTTGGTGCTCTTGGTTCGATATCGGAACGCAAGCATTTTGTACGTTGTACGTAGTGATACCTGACAGAACTGAACATCTAAATATAACGCCATCTTATCTTAATGTAATTTATTGTAAAATTTATATAAATTTAATTTTCTCTTTTTTATTTTTTATTATACATCGGGATCGTTATGGATCTCACGCCAAAATGTAATTAATAAATAAACGGTTAATTTATTTATTTTAATTACATCTATTCTTTTTATACAGCCGTTGACTTTTGGTTTAATTTTGATCGGCAGCACCCTCGGTCCTTTCCCTCCGTCCGCCTCACGCTTACTCATACCGCCAAAATAGTATACATATACGAGTAGTTACATAGTCAGCGACACCTGTCGGGCCGGCCACGCGCCGACATTCCAACGCTGATGATGCTAGGCATTTCCCAAATCCCTATCACACATAGTCAGCGGCCGCAGCGCACGCGTCGAGCTATATTTAGGCGCCCCACGCCTGCGCTACACTACCATAAATAGTAAAGACAGATCCCGAGCATTTTCTAAATTTATCGGAATATCGTCGGCGGCGCCTGCGCACCTCCCCACGCCCCGCGGTGGGTTCACGTGTGGCGAGGCTTCCGTAAATACCGCTCGCGTGAAAGCAGTCGTGACTAAGAATAGCGCCTCTCCCGGAGCGCCGCCGCCGCCTGCGCCGCCGCCGCGGAGGTGATGCATTCTCGACAACAGCTCTTTCCATTCGATAGTAATGATAATGCCGACCACTGAATTAGCGTCACGGCCGTTCGGCACACTGATGCCGGTTCGTCTCAAATGTCACAAGATTAACTTACGCGTTTCATTTCAAACGTCCTCACGCAGTGAATTTTCGCTGGCCTCTTTTATTTATCGTTTCAGCTTAGTTTTAGAGACACTGTGGCAGTGTTTCTCTGTCGTACTAGGGCGCAGCTCCAACGCCGTCGGTATTTTTACATTGGCTTTCGCCTCGTTCATGTTTGCAATCTGTGAAGATAACATTATGATTTGTTTGGTTACGTACAGGTAGTTTCAATACAGAGCTCACTTCTTTTTCTTGTTAGAATAAATTTTCAATAACAAATTCATTGCCATTGTTTTGATGACATCAAAAAATATTAAGATACAATCGGGTTATGTGGTCAAAGATATATTATATATATATTTTGGATGTGTCCACATATTTATCATGTAGTTTACTGTTGTAGTTAATCTGAAATGTGTGAAAAATGGAAATGATAGTTGGCAATACTGTTCTCTGTGTATCAACGCCCTTTCTGAAATAATAGTAAAGTGTTGTTTGAATTCAAATACGAAATATACCAATATATTTCGTCGGCTTGTTGCAAGAAGTCTCTAACTGACTAAAACAGAAATGTCAGGAGAGCAGTCAATTACTTTTTTTTACATTGAACGGCATAGTATCGTAAAATGCCATATTTAATTTTTTAAACAATTAATACTTACGGTACTATAAATAAAAAATAAATAATAATAAAAATCATTTATTTCAGACAATGTAGTCCATACAAGTTAGTAAGTTAGTAACACGAACTATGGCCGTTCAACATAAAAAAGGGTACTAACAGGTCTAATGAAATTTTTGTTCTTGTCAGTTAGCGACTTCTTGCGCTGAGCCGACGTTGTATTCTTTTTATTTTTACACTTGCGCTGTAATATACCAGCAAACCATCAAAGATTTTGATGGTCTTCAATTTGTGCATTTTCTTAAGACCTGTCAATCTAAAATCGCTTTGCTAGTGTGGCTGGCTGCCGCTAGTGCCAATATAACAAGTAGGTAAGCAATTCTTCGAGTGCGGTGCGCCGGCGTCGCCTCGTGTCGCGCCAGATTGATCTCGACAGATGTGACTGCGACAGCTGTTAACTGTTAGGTTTCTTGTTGACAAATTGATCTGCGAGAGTCTTCAGCGTATTATTCAGCACTCTAAATAATAAGCGTGTGCTCGGAGATGAAAGTGATGAGGCCTGGGACTACGACGCGCTTCGCTCGCTTTATTAACATGAAATGTCGTCGGGGTGCAGTTTCGTTGTCTCGTAGTTACGCGCACTTATTTATTGCACTAAAACTTTGATGAACCTATACGTAATCAATCTTGCGCATGGGTGCACTGCAACTCTCAACAATGAATCCCAATTTCACTTTTCCGTCGTAGTAATTATACTCGTGTTTTGCTGCCTCTATATTCTAACAACTCCTTCGAAATGTTGTATTGGTATACCTTTGTTTGTTTTGTAGTGCTCAATACCTTCTGTTACTCGTAACAATGTACTTAGGGTAAAACCGGGAGAGATGCCTCACTGTTTGAAAGGGTCTTCTAATTTAAAAATTATAAGTTTACCTTGAATAATTCCTATGGATAGGTATACCAAGTTTAATCTTTTACATTACATTAGAACTTGATTTTATTGATCTAACATTTACTGATTTTGAAGAAATTGACAATTTGCAAACCTATTTTTTTGAGGATACTACTACCTATATATATACCTACCTAAATGGATAGACGCCACACTATGAAAATACTAAGAAGGATAGATGCCCTTTAGAATTAAATTTGTAAAATTCATATTTAAATGTTTTATTTGTAAACTTTAATATATTTTATATATATATCACATCTTTAATAATAAATATATGCGTATTTAAAGTTACAGCCTACTTCACTTCGTATTTTTGTAGCTATCAAAACATTATGTAGGTATACAAAAATGTTCGCTGTTCGAACTGTGAATAATTTGTCCTTTTGGTAGTTTTACTTACTTTTAAACTATTATCATTTACTTGTCTTTTTCACTAAAATAATGTATTTTTTGTTTTCTTTTCCTAACTTTCTTGTCTTGTCCTTTGCACCTATACCGCAAAAAATCGATGCGACTATTCTATTCGATATGGACAGATGTCCTTTTATTATTTAACTAAGCTATATACAAAAGAGCGATTATTGACACCTAGGAGCGCAGTTAATGAACCAGTGTATGGTTATAATAAAAATAAAACGGAATTTATTATAACTTACAAAGTTACGCGACAGTAAATACTTGCGTAAGAAATTTTTAACCGTTTTTCGTGTTCGTCGCGGAGATAAACGCATGCACGAGCCAAACGCGTCTATTCCACGCGAAGCCCTGCAGTAACTTTGATGAGTTGTGTCTTATTTAAACTAATTATTCTTTGTTGCGATTTGGGGAAGTTAGGTTTTTTTGAAAATGAGGCACCTATCCCACTGCGGCATCTATCCCGGTTTTACACTACACTTGATCAAACCTCCGTCTTCAGCCTCACACACGTTTCAATATAACCTCATCACTGCGTCATCAATGTGCGCGTTTCACGATATTAACCGCGCCTTCATGTAATTGCTTACTACGTGGTGCCTTTCGTTTCATTCTCTTTATTATGAGCGGTTTCATCAAACTCTATTGTTAATACACAATAATCGTTTTGATGCTTGTCTCTTGAGACGAATAGAAATGGGTAATAAGTTTCACAAACGATGTAAACATTCGTTTGTGGAACTTATTTCCCGTTTCGAGTGCAAAAAACTCGAGAGCTGTACATTTACATTGTAATAGTAAAAATTTCAATTTAACTTATTCGTAGCAAATTTGCAAGGAAATAAGGTACTTGTCTGAAAAAGATGTAAGGATCGTTTACAGTATCGTCAATTCTGTTATTTCAGACAAAAAGTTACTTTTCTGGCCTTATGTGTATGTTCAAAATGTTGGCCAATAACTAACGACCTCTGCCGGTCATCCCACATGTACAAACGCTTGCTAATATTTATTTATTTATTGCCCCCTTATAAAGTGCGAAACTCCTGCGGACCTCCGGACTCCTCCACAAATTCACAGACATGGCCTAGGCATAAAAATGGAAAATTAAATAAGCCGCAAAACAGAGTGTGGTTATAGGGAGATTCGTGTCGAGTACTGTCGACCGCGGGTATTTGCCAGCGACGTTATTAGACAAGTTATATGGCGAGGCCGGGGGCGGGGGCGCGGGGGTCTAACGACTCTAAACTATATTAATAATCATTATTAGCCTCCCCCACTGTAACCCTCTCTTTAGAAACTAAGCAATGAAAGCTCCAGCATCCCACCCTGTGGAACGCCTGTATTTCGTGTCGAAGTGAACACTGTTCAGGAATTGTTTCATGTTTACGTCTCAAAGGTTCGCGCTTGAGTTGGAATGAAATAATTGTAAAGTTGTGTATGGAATGTACATTTGAGAAAGCGATATGCTTAATCTTCTTATTATTTGCTCCAATTACTATATTTGCTTATTTATGTCAGTACGTAGAAACAAGGTTGCTCACCGCTGCAGACATGCAGAACTGGTAACAGATTTGAAACTTGGGACTCCAGGGACTGACCACAGAGCAGTCAAAGGTTAGGTTCAATGCTTTTAACATTGGACTTCACCACCAAGTTATTTAAATGAGATTCATAACTCGAGGCTCTAACAGATTTCGGTCAACCTAGTGGTCAACAAGCTGTTGCTACGAGATTATGATATGATTACCATTGCCCGTATGCTTTTTGTAGACCATAAACTTTTTCGCTGTTCGCGATCTGATGGGTACTTGGCTCTTTCCTCTTTATGGTAATTATCTAAAATAATTTTATAATGGTAAGTTTGCGAAAGAGAAAAAGAGTTAGGAGCATGCCCTAGCACCAGCCATCTTCAAATGCCGTGTAATTTTCTATCCAGCACACACGAATAAACTCGTGTATCGGAGGACTTCACAGACCGGCAAATGTACTGTTCTGTTCTTACATCCTTTATATGTATAATTATTTAGAACACATCTTTTCATTTCAATCTGTTCAAAAACGAGTCGTGTGGAAACTGCCGTAACACTCAATCGTTTCAAATCAATTGTGAAACTCTACAAAAGAGCGCCGATAATAAAATTTCTCTCGTGAACCCATCGATGACGTTATTCAATATTTTTTTCAATAACGTAATGAAAACTACTCGAAACATACATTTTCATTCTCTCGATAGATCACTCATCATTGCTCAATTCCTATAGTTATTCTTATAA